AAACATCATCGCTTTCTCAAAATCACATAAAGTCATATTATAACATCGACTGAGATAAAGAATAAAATGAAATATTAAAATCACGATGTATCTCGCTGCATTGCGCGAGTAAGCTTCTAGTTATATTATAAAGCATTTGACAAAAACTCTTAAAAACCATTTTTTATGTATGAAGTATCGTATATTGATGCATATTACTTAAAATTCAAGATTACAAGTAAATTATGCATAAGTACAACTTATTAAATCTCCATGTTTGAATTCGTGTAACAAACTGCGGATAAACATAATCAAATAGAGGATAAACATCTCATTTTAAAATATAAAAAATCTAAAATATAATTAGGATAATCATCGAGTTCTAACAAAATAATTGATTATTATCTTTATAAGAAAATTATATTATTAAATCAAATATAAATTACTTCGTTATTGAACCTAAATTAAATTATAATAAAAAAATTGAATTAAAAATTAAACAAAAAATGGAGAATTTTAAATAGTTAATTTGATATTTATATCGATATTTTTTTTTTCCCAAATTTTTATGATATTTTCAAATTTATATTTTATTAAAAAATAAAAACATCATCGCTTTTTCAAAATTACATAAGACCATATTATAAGATCCTCTGAGATAAAGAATAAAATAAAATATTAAAATCAAAATGTATCTCGCTGAATTGCACGAGTACCCTTCTAGTAAATTTTTAATTGATGACTCAAGGTGTAAGAAGCATTGATGATGATCAAATTAAATATTTAAAATTTTGATTTTTCTGAAACATTTATAAAAATTGATTTTTCTGAAACATTTATAAAAATTGATTGTTATTTAATAAGATTGTCCTTTTATTTATTTTTTACTTTATTCTTTTATTACTCATAGAGTATGTAACATTAATTAAAATATTATTATTTTTCATTGTTAAACATGGAATTTTAAAGTTTTTTATATATTGGTAGAAAAATAAAAAAAATCATTTTTTTTCATAAATCAACAATATTTTTTGTTTTCAAATTTAACGAATTTTATCCTCTCTCATACTTTCTCTATTTTAGATTTTTTTTAAATCTGTTAAAATAAGAATCCTAAAATCTCCATTTTAAAGAAGAGCAAATTGCATGAAAAAGTAACGTACTTTAACTTGATTCATATTTTAGGTAACGTAATTTCAAAACTTTCATTTTGGTATTTAAGATATAAAGTTTTAAACATTTAAGTATCCGGGTAACCGGATGAAACATTAACTGGTTACTATGTTGATATGGCAAGTGATGTGGTATCACTATGACCAGATTCCAATTCAAATGGAATCTTTCAACTAAAGCAATGAGATGCTTAAATGGAATTCTTTTAGTTCTAGAATTAGCTCTGTATCAATGAAATCTCATCATCCATACATAACGAATTGATGTGGTATATTGGCCGTATTTTATTAGGGCAATCTCCGGAATGGTATGAGGATTTCCGGATGAAACATTAACTGGTTACCATGTTGATATGGCAAGTGATGTGGTATCCGGTTAATGCTTCAGTAAATAATACTGAGTTGGATATCACAACACTATTCACATCAACATGGTAACCAGATAATGCTTCAACCGGGTACTTAAATGTTTAAAACCTTACATCTTAGGTATCAAAATGAAAGTTTTGACAGTACGTTACCCGAAATAAGAATCAAGTTAAAATACGTTGCATTTTTCATACAATTTACCCTTTAACGAATATGTTAGAGACTTGGAAATGCTCTGGAAACAAATGAAACTACCTTTATAATGTATGAACATCCCCTTTTTAATGCATATTAAAATGTTACATAATATTGTAAGGTTGGGTTCACGTGAGACCAAAGGTTTTTCGTGAGACCCGTAAGACCAATTTATGTTCATTGATCAACTTTATAAGCTAATGATTCATGACTAAAGTTGCACGGTGACAGTTTTGTGATTATTGAGAAGTCTCATGACAATTTTGTGATTATAAATGTTCAGATTGTAGATATAATCCAAGGATTGAGAATTTGTCTTAACAAAAACTCTTGATCTCACATGATCCCGAATCTAATATTGTATAAATGATACAAATTTTTCACAGTTCGCACGCCTGCAAAATAAAATATTAATTTCACGTTCTCGATCAGAAAGAAAAAAAACAATGTATTTCTCGAAGAATCCAACCCTACATAACTTTTGTAACTTCCAATAAAGCACGACCCACAACTTTTCAATAATTTCAGAATGGTCCCCCAACCATTATTATGCTGTTTTCACTTCAAATTTTTACCTTCACCAAAACCCTAGATAACATGCTTTACATGGCAATGTAATTCCAACCCTTAATTAACCCTAAATCGTACTACTCCAAGTACCCTTTTTTATCATCGTGATCATCAATGCCATTGATATTCATCTCCGATAAGATTTTGACCGCCATAGATGATCCTCAAGGTACATACCGTGGCACCCTACCAGCCTTTGCTTTTTATCTTTACTTTTACTATGCCTCCTCATTCGCCAATATGGTCGCTTCAACTACAGTCCACCATCCCTTAATTCTTTCTTTATCTTCATTTCGTAATTCTCCTTTCACCATCGTCCATGGTTATGGTTATGGTTATGGCTGCTCTTGCAAAACGACAGCTGAAATTTGGGATCTTTTTAGCTTTCAGTTCCAGCTGATCATGATCATCATCTGTTAGTTATACTGCAGGCCAGAAATCTAATTTGCTCAAGTAAGTTTTCAATTTATGAATTGTTAGCTGATTTTGAGTTCTTTTATATGCAGTTGAATCCCTGTGTGTGTTCGATCATTCTTACTTTCGGAACTTCCTTCTTCTCTTCGAAGCTTTCGTACTCAGTAGAATGTGTTTGAGTGTGTGTGTGTGAGATTCAAATCGATTGATACATATATAATATAGCTGAATTGAGCGTTTGTGCAGCTGAATTTTTCTTATTGTATGTCGGTTTCGTGGATCGAACGAGCTTAATTGTTTTGGATTTGATCAGATCTTGTGTTCTTTAATTTGAAGCTTAGTAGATATATTTGTGTGTGTTCTAATGCGTTTTTGTTATGAATTCAATTAGAAATTTATATGTTTTGCGGTATCTGCAAGGAGGGGAGGATTACATCCAAGTTAATTATGAGTTACAGTTGATATGAATATTTCGAATTTAAGAGAATCGTCAGATGTTACGCGAAAACAAGAAGGCACGAATTCGAAAGATGGTAGCAAGATTAGCCCTAAACCTAATTTGACGACATCATCGTGGACAAAATTGAAAGATCCAAGAATCGTTCGAGTTTCAAGAGCTTTTGGTGGGAAAGACCGACATAGTAAAGTTTGTACGGTGAGAGGGTTAAGGGATAGGCGAGTGAGACTATCGGTTCCGACTGCTATTCAATTGTACGATCTTCAAGACCGACTCGGGCTTAATCAACCGAGTAAAGTTGTTGATTGGCTGCTCGATGTGGCTAAGCATGAAATCGATGAACTCCCCCCTCTCCAAATGCCATCCGGGAACTATGGTCAAGGGCTTCAAGCAATGATCAATCTTGCTTCTCATCCTGGTATGATTAGTACCCCTCAGATACCTGAGAATTCTGAACGGCTGAAAACCAATACAAATTGGGAGGATTACTGGAATCCCGATAAATCTAAGGAGAAAGATGATTATCCGGGAAGCAAGAACGATCATGATCATGGGGCGCCGATCTTACTTCAATCTAGTAATTCATCTATGTTCACAAATGGTGTGCAAACTGGTTCTATCCTCAAATGGAATCCTTCAAATTTATCTTTGTCACAATTCGGAAGCTATGGATCGATGGCAACTCATCAACACGAAGATACGCTTAACTTCAACATCAACGTATCCGGATCTCAACTTCTTGCCTACCCACCACCGTCTCACGATCACCATAAACAACTAAACTTAGAGATGTTGAGCCCTTCTTCTTCAAGCTCTCATAATCCTTTATCTTCATCTCTATATACAATCAATCAAGGGATGAGGCCTTTTCACTTGAGTATGAACCCTAAGATGTTTCCTTCTCAAGAAGATGAACCCGACAAGGGAAATTGACATCAACACCCGTAAAACCAAGTGCAAACCTCGATGGCTCGTAATTCTTTTTTATGATTCTCTTTTCGCCTACGTTCTTAACTAATAAGATCGACCACGACTTCGTCTTATGGTATGTTTTGGAATTCGTTTTGTTCACTCGATAAATGAATACAGATCAGAAACGAAAAAAAGCCTGTAGCTTGAACTTCTGATTGTAAGAATCTTGATATTTTCTCTACTCTTTCTTGAAGTACTTACATTAATTGGTTTCATTCACAGATTTTTCCCATGTGTTATCACGATATCTACATCTTTATGTGGTTTCGAAATGATAAATGAATACCCCAAAAAGGAAAACAAAGCCTGTATACATCCTGAACTTTTGATTGTAAGAATCTTGATATTTACCCTTCTCTTTCTTGAACTACTGTATATTGGTTTCATTGACAGATGTGATCACGATCAGGGACGTAAATGAACCGAATGTTCATCGAACCGTTCATGACCATTGACGGGAAATTCGTTTATGTTCATTTACTTAAACCAACGGACATGAACAATAATCTCGTTCGTTTATTTACCTTCGTGTAGGTTTGTTTATATATATAAATATATTTATATGTGTAAAATTGCTAATTAAATTAAATTTTAGGATTCTTTTTTATCTCTCTCTCATTTATCCCGTTTTTTCATTTTATTATGTTGTTTTTTTTAATGAAATAATAAGTAATGGTGGTTGCTTTTAGTACATTTGTATTCGTTCATTTACGTTCGTCCGTTTAGCATTTTAATGAACGAACATAAACAAACACAAACCAAAGTCAACACAAAAAATTATGTTCCTTTACCGTCCATGTTTGTTTCGTTAAATTAGACGAACGAATACAAGCAAACATCCGTTCATGTTCGTTTACAGCCCCTATCTACATGTTTTTGTCGATTCAATTTCTATTTAGTGGAACAGTAGACATATGGGTTTTTGTTGATCGGCGTTATCATGAAGAAGTTTGAGTTGGGATTTTTGATAGATTCTAGAGAGAGAGAGAGGATTGAATTGATGGGTTGTTTAGTTTTTATGAAATCGAAAAAGGTGTTATGGTGAAGGAGACTGATGATGAATTAGGCATCAGATCCAATATAGTAGCTTGGCTGGGAGTAGACATGTAGCTAGCAGTCAAGCAGAAGCAGCAGCAAATTAAGCTTAAAGATGGCAGTACAGTTGCAGGTAATATACTGACTCAACAGAAGGACTTGAAGTTTCCGCTTAAAGGCTGATAGGGTTTTAATATATATATATATATATATATATATGTATGTATGTATATATATATGTATGTATGTATGTAATTGGAATGAGGAAGATGATGATAGAAAGGAACTTAACCAAAGCCTTTATATGTTGCATAAAATATAAAATCAAAAGCTGAACGTGATGTAATGTGCATGAGGGAGAAGTCAAGTTTCAAGCTTTTACGAGTTACCCTAAGATTTTGACGTTTTTAAAGATGTAGCATAAGGTGATATATACACATATCAGTTGTTATGCAACGCTTTACATTTCTACAACTAAATAAGGAGCATCTATTTGATCATCAACAATTATCATTTGATCGGTTGTAATTATCCTTAATTTAAAAAATCAAAAAAAAAAAAAACGGATGGTGGATAAGTGGGTTGCATCGGTTGTATTGGTTTGATGGAGATTGTGAGTGGCCGTGGGGAAAAGGCTGGTTTGATGGAGATGGTGAGCGGCCGTGGGAAGGGGTTGGTTCCCCATAGATGGTGGAAGGAGAAGGAGGTGGGTTTCAATATTATTAAATTAGGGCGGTGGGTTTCAAGGGAGGTGGGTTTTCAATTTGTCAATTTACAAAATTATCCTTTAATTTATTTTAAAAAGAAAACTATTTATATTAAATGAGTGG